ACTTGTTTTGGCATGAAACAAATTTTGCTTGCTCATTAATTTTCTTACTGGTAACACATTTGAATTTTACAGCACCGCTTTCATCAACAATGATGAAAAGTAAAGGTGTATATTTAGTGACAAATCCTGAACTTCTCAAAAACATGAATAAGGAACATGTGACTTATACCAAATGTTAAAGAAACAGTAGTAATGTAACTGATTATAACAACTATCTACAGAAGAAATATCAGCATCTACTATAAATGTTAATAAATATTTGAAGAAAATCATAATCAAAGATAATACTCTGAATATCTATCTATGGAAGACATATGTATGTACACATGACATTTAAGATATGACCTATCAAATAACTGCTCTAAATTAATTGGTTTGATTTTCTAATATTCTGCACATTTAAAGTGACTCAGTAGTTGTGAATGGACTATTTCATTGAAAGAACTCTATAAACAGTGAAATATAGCAGGTTTATATCATTGTAATCAAGTGCTTCAAATAGGAAACCACACAAATTCCAATGATCTTCAGATATCTTTATCCTATGAATGAATAGAAAACAGGAGAAGTCTTTCTTCTGAAGGCAAAACACTAAAATCGCAGCATTTAATATAAGGTTTTTTTCTATTATGAACTATAACTATTGGCAAAGCACAATAAGTCTAAATTTATAAATTTACATAGTCATGGTTTTTACACTGAAAATATTGAAATTATTGTGTTGGACACATAATTAATAATCACATCCAACCACATTACCAAATTCATGAATTTGTTCAAAATGACAACTCCTGTGCTCCATCCCAAATCCAATGAATCAGAAATCCTATGGGTGCAGAAATCTATGCTATGACAAGTCTTCCAGGGGATTCTAATGCTGAGAAAAGTTTAAGACTACTAATCTTGGATATCTCTGCCTCTAGCCTTCTTCAACTTAAGGTTAAAAATAGGTTGAGAAATCTGGAAATATGATCATAACTAGCATTCATTAGCAAGTGTTTACCAAGTGATAGGCTCACTGGTAAATATTTGTGAGGATTATTTCATTCCATTCTCTCCAAAAGAGAGATAGATATTATTGTTACCAGTACTGTATAGGCAACTGAACTGATACATAAAGAAAGTGAAGTGCCACAGAGCCCGTGAATGCAAATGAGCTAGCATTATCTAACGTACTCTGCAGCTTCTGTTTCTCCATCCGTTCAAGCTGTTGTTAAAGTAAATGGGCAAGAGAAACAAAACTCTCAGATGGATCCAGCTGTTTCTATTAAAACATGTCTTATGATAAGTGTGGCAAATCTTAAAGAAGTAATTAGTTTATTTGGCTCAATATAAAATAATTCACTACAGGCATTGTACACTGCTCCTCCCATCAATTTACCTACTGGCTATGATTTGAATGATTTGTATCACTCCAACCATGCATGTGCTGCGAATTTGATCGTCAGGGTGGCAGCACTGGGAGTTTCTGTGGCATCTTTAAGTGGTAGTGCATAGGGAGAGTCATAGGTTATTGGGGACAACCCTTCACTGAGCATACTGTTCTCATGGGTTGAATTCTTTTTTGGGGGAATTTTCACAAAATGCTGAGCCTGACTCCAGTCTCTCTGATTTTCTGTTTTGAGATGTGTTCTACTTTCCTAGACATTTTCTGTCTTCACAGAGCCTCAATTGAGTTTGCACAATATGGTTTGAAATTTCAGCCTCCAAAATTGTGAGCTAAATAAACCTCTTCATAAAATTAACCCGCCTAATGTATTTTTGTACTAAAATGAATAATATGTCCTTTATATGGGTCTCTAGATGACTGCTATTGAGTAGACTTAGTGGGACTATGACTTAATATATGTAGAGGGTTGTATGCAAATTAGAGTGTCACAAGAGTACTTAACATGATCTCTTATTATGACACATCTGTGAAGCAAAATATGGAGCTATTTTATGTAAAAACAATATAAGGATTTTCAAATTGCAGTAATATATCAAAAATATATTCTTTCCTATTGTAACATTATCGGAGCAAATCCTTTGTGAAAACAATGGAAGAAGCAAAAGTAAAAACAATCACAATTTTCAGAGTAGCATTAGAGGAAGGATTTTTTTTTCGTTTTCTTTTGTAGTTTTTTTCCATAAAGTGATTTAATTGCTCTTTCGTTTCAGTATTTCTGCCTAAAGCTTCAGTCACAGTCTTTCAAAATGTGCTCATTCTCTGTGTCAGAAAATACATTTTTCATTATAATACTCTAGGGTGTGAAATTAATTTCATCACCTAAAATCACCCTTTAAAATTTGCAACAAAGTATAAGTAAACTTCATAGTAGGTTTTTCTCCCATCTGAAGAGAAGATATTTTGTATTCTCAAGTTTATTCATGAGCTCCTGGGTTGTAAAAACATTTCTTCTTATGAAAAAGTAGCAATTCAATTCTTTTTTCAGCTAATAAACTTATCTATCCCTGAAGGTTTTATGACTAAGTAAACAGGCAGTAGATTTTGTCAAACACTGATCTAAACCAAATTAACTGTTTTCAGCCTAAATAAGATACTGTTTGGTTGGAAAAATATCAACAACTGTGTTAAGTTAGGTTGAATTGTTATTATTAGTTAAATGCCTTAGCTATGGTAAAATAAAAATGTTGGAACAGTGATAAATTTTAATCAAATTTTAAACATCAAGATTGAATTTTTAAATTTCAGAGAACTTTGAGACTATTTTCCTGCTTTCTCTTACAAATGTTCTACAGGAAAGGCTGCATTTTGTAAAGAGAAAAAAACTTGCAAAGGTAGTGGGATAGAAAAATTATACAGTTGCCACATAGTCCAGATGCCCAAAACACATGAATATGTTGTACCAATGAGATGCTTACACAAGCATGTTTATAGCAACACTGCTCACAATCACTGAAATTTGTAATCAATGAAAACATTCATTAACAGATGAAAGGAAAAGGAAAATGTGGTATATTCTCCCAATGGAATATTATCAAGCTATAAGAAGATTGAACTTCCACCATTTAAACAAAATGGATTCTCTGGGAGATGTCATGTTGATTGAAATAAACATATTCTCCCGCATACATGGTTACTAAAGTTTAGAATAAATAAAGAAATGTCTGTGTGTTTCAGTATCACTGCAAATTCAGTTTTTGTGAAACTTTAATACCTTTGCTGAAATCAATGGTTAAAAATGGCATATGACTACAGTTTTTTAAATCTGTCATTATTTTAAACTCTAATACCAATGGTTGAAATGGTCATTTTTCACATAGGTATATATGCACATATATACTTATAAATATGAAATTGTCATCTAACTATTCAATCATTGCTTATAAGAGTTTAGATTCCCATTAAACTAGGATCTTTTATTAAAAAAAACCAAATAATTGAATATTGTTGAAGTAATTAATTACCTATGAAATAGACCTCAATTGTTTAATATTCTAGCCTTAAATAACTTGCTGTTTAAGTTTTACACATATTTGATTTTTTTCAGTTCCAGCTGTAGTATTACCTGGGTTAAAAAGAATATACATTTTTAGGGCCTGGTATTGGTAGCCTAGTGGGAAAAGTCTTTGTCATGCACTGGACAGGATCCAATATAGGCACTGGTTCTAATCCTGGCAGCCACACTTCCCATCCTGCTCCCTGCTTGTGACCTGGGAAAAGCAGTTGAGGACGGCCCAAAGCCTTGGGACTCTGCATCTACGTGGGAGACCTGGAGGAGGCTCTGGGCTTGTGGCTTTAGATTAAAACAGCTCCAGCCATTGTGGCCACTTGGGGGGGCGGGGGGTGAATCAAAGGACAGAAGATCTTCCTGTCTCTCCTCCTCTCTATATATCTGACTTCAAAATAAAATTAAATAAATCTTATTAAACATAAATATATATTTTTAAGGTGTTGTATAAGACTATCCTAAATGTTGTCTTAGCTACTGTGATAACTGCTTATCTCATGTGTATTTTTAAAATTTTTAATTAAAAAATTTATATTGACATTTGTTCAGATTTATTGATTTATTTGAGAGGCAGAGAAGAGAGAGAGAGAGAGAGAGAGAGACTGTTCCATCTGCTGGTTCATGCTCCAGATGGCCACAATAGCAAAGTTTGGGCCAGACCAAAGCGATGAGCCAGGAGCTTCACTTAGGTCTTCCATATAAATAACAGTGGTCAAGATACTTGAACAATCTTCTCCTTCTGTTTGTGGTGAATTGTCAGGGAGCTGTATCAGAGGTGGAGCAGCCAGAACTCAAATTACTGGTCCAATTGGGATGCTAGTATTGCATGCAATGACTTAGTCTGCAATATGACAACACCAGTCCACAAAGTTTGTTTTAAATAATATGAAAAGGTGCAGAAAAACTCAAGCCATAAAAATCAGTTATAAAACAAATGGAGAAAAAAATGACTTACTGTTTATGTTTCTTCATATATGCTCAGATTTTGTACTCATTCATGTGTCTTTTTCAAAAATGCAAACTGAGTTCAGCAAAGAAATGAAGTATGAATTATATCATGAAAAGTTAGCATACCAATTCAGATAGTCAAACTAAACATTCTGATATCTCATAAATCATAATATTCAGACCAGAAATGCTCCAACAATTGCCAAAGGTTCTTTTTTTAAGATTTACTTATATGGGGCCCAGTGCAATAGTGGCTAAATCTTTGCCTTGCATCCGCAAAGATCCCATAGTGGCACTGGTTCATGTCCTGGCTACTTCACTTCCCTTCTGTATCCTTGCTAGTGGCCTGAGAAAGCAGCAGAGAATGGTCCAGGACTTTGGGATCTTACACTCACATGTGAGACCCTTTTGGCTCCTGGCTTCAGACTGGTTCAGCTCAGGTTGTTGTGGCCACTTGAGGACTGAAGCAGCAGACGGAAGATCTTTCTGTCTCTCCTTCTCTCTGTAGTTCTACCTTTCCAATAAAAACAAACATTTTAAAAATATGTATTTGTTCATTTTTATTTAAGAGACAGATTTTACGGAAAGAAAGCGATAGATCTTCCATCCTCTGGTTCACTCCCCAAAGAGTTGTAATGGCCAGAGCTTAGCTGGTCCAAAGCCAGGAACTCCTTCTGAGTTTCCCACGCAGGTGTGGGGTCCTGATGCTTTTTTTAAAAATCAAATTTAAATGCAATATCTAGGAAATAAATAAATCTATGGAAAATAAGTTATTCTTTCTGGTAGCAATCAGTAATCATGGGCACTTTCAGATCATGAATTAGCCACTGCTGAGTGACCTTGAATAATGCAGCTTATCTGACCCTTAAATTTCTCTCTTCAGCAATATGATTGCATGACATCTTGAAACAAAATCGTAAGAATAACATAGTAGTAACCTGTTTAAGAAATCATAGGAAAACAAATTCTATGTATAAAATAGATAGACATGTTTACATAGAGCTCTCTTAACAACCTGTTAACTTCTAGGTTATCTTAAATATGATATCATATAGTACTATTCAATGTCCGTATATTTTATGTATAAGCCATGGGGAAAATAGAATATAGGAGTCCCCAGTAGCACTTGTTTAGGAAGATCCAGCTATTGGGTAATGAAATAGTAGTAGATATCTGTTGTATGTCCATTGCGCATGTAATAGAAGTGCAAACTTCTTCAATGTCTCCAGAGTGTCACAAGCTTCAACAAGAGCATTCTTAAACCACTCGGCCACACTAGCTACCAGCCAACCAGAGCATTCTGAAAGGCATGCACACACAAATAAATGAAACTTATGTTTAGAGAAAAGAGGGTGATATTAATTCTAAACTATACAACAGCTTTTAGAAATATTTCTTGTGTGGATTACTATAGTAAAATGGATATGAACAGAATTTTGCTGTATCTGATATTTTTTTTTTTTGCAAATATCTGTAGACTATCACCATATAGCATAGAGTTACCCACGCTTTCATTAAAAATGTGCAAATGCTCCAGAATGGGCGAGCACAAAATGATAGGCCAAGGCCACTCATTTCTCTATTTTATGTAGTAAAAAAAAAAAGAAGTTAGGGAATACATAAGTCATACATCTAAGAAGTGATTTATTTCTATGGCATATAAAGAAATCATACAGCTCAATAATAAAGATATAAATAAACTCTGTTGGAAAAATTTTTAAAAATCTGAATAATGTTTTCCCAAAACATATGAGCAAATGGCCAGTTGGCACTTGAAATTATATTCAACATCATTAGCCATAATGGAAAACTAGGAGCAAGTCACAACAAAACACCATATGGATGACTATGATAAGCAAAAAAAAAAAAAAAAAAAAAAAAAGATTGATAATAGGAGGTGTTGTTGTCTAGAGTGTGGAAAATGTAGAACTTTAGTTTTATTTCTGGTAGGAATGCAAAATGTTACCATTATTTTAGAAAACAATCTGGCAGTTTCTCAAAATACCAAACATAAAACTTATATGTCTCCAAAATTTCACTTCCTTTTTCAAATATTTTACTCAATTAGAGTGAAAATACATACCTACACCAAGAAAAATCTTTTCTTTTTCTGTCTTTTAAGCAGCACCTGAGGTCCTCAACTGGTTCACGGGAACAAGCTGGCTCATTTGTACGTGCCGGGCATGATTCTCTTCACGGGAGCCAGCACAGGAGGTGGCATGACGTGCACTGTGAGCTCTGATGCCAGGACACACACTCTCAGGCTCTGGTCCTTGAGATTTGAAATCTTACTACATCTGAGACATAAAAATTCTGGTTCTTGGTAATTCCAAAGGCCGCCCTCCCCACACCACCCCTCCCCCACTCTTCAGGACCTTGACCACCAGTACCTGGCCTAGCGGGATAATGTGCTTCTCGTGTGACTGCTTAGGATCCGTTAGGGCCCTACACTGTTGTTCCCAAACCAGTATGGTGGAGTGCCACAAATGCAACCTTCCTGGGATCCATCAGGCCCACAGAGTGCCATTCCCAGACTAGTATGGTATCACATCATAGAATTTGACTGCCTAGCACCCATCAGACTTCTGATCTACCATAATGGGATGCCATGGGTATAGCCTGCCTAGGATCTTGGAGGCTGGCTCTGGGCATGCCGCTCATACTGCTGTGGTGGTGTGCTGTGATTATATCCTGCAAAGGACCCACAAGAGCAATTTTCAAAAATATGGTACTCTGTTTTGGAATATAATCAACATGTTAAACAATAGACCTCATGAACTTATTCCTCCATTCTAGCTGACATTTTGTATCCTTTCACCAACATCTTGACAACACTCCAATCTCTGAACCTCTAGCTGCCAGGAGTCAACCTCCATTCTATTCTCTACTTCAAAAACCATGATTACTTTTTATTTATTAATTTTATGTATCTATACAAAGTGAGTAAATTTCATGTGTGTCACAATACTGATTTAGAATAATAGAGGCTCCTCTCTCCCAACTCCTCCTCCTTCCACATTACCTCTTTTTGTCCCCTAATTATTGCAATGTCGTATTTTCCTTTTGCTTTGTAGTCACAAGCATAACCCTCCAATAGGTAAAGGGATCAAAACAAAGCAAGTGGAAGAGAAAAATGGAAATCCTACTATTACTCTAGAGTATAGGCACAGGTTGTAAACATTAATCAACTCCCAGATGTCAATCTTACTTATGAAGATAACAATTTTTGTGTTTTGTGTATTTGTTGTTACAGATCAGAGAAAAACTTATAATATTTGTCTTTTAGGGACTAGCTTATTTTACTAAGCTTTCCAACTGAATCCATATGGCTACAAATGATAAGGTTACACTGTTTTTCACAGCTGAGAAGTATTCCACAGTGTATATAGTTGACATTTCCGTTATCCAATCATCAGTTGATGGGTATCTGAGCTGATTCTATATCATAGCTATTGTGAATTATGCAATAACTTTTCAATCCAGTCCGAAAATCTTTCACTCTGCTCTCTGTATGCTGTTGAAATCATTCTATGGAAGGAATGCAAAGAACAGTAATTTTTATATTCTACAATAGAGAATCTAATGCATTACAGGTAATCTCAGTGAAATCTGACATTTTTCTTTTTTGGTAAAACTATGCACAGAACTTTGATGCCTCAAAACTACTTTTAGAAGAAAATTTAGACATGCTTATAAATGAGAGAGGCAATTTCTAATAAACCTCCAAAAAGAATTTAGCTAAAACAGGAACAATTACTGTCAAATTAGAAAAATCCAAACTTGAAAGCTATTGCTCTAAACAGCTCAAGCCTGGAGAAGATATTGACAGTTATACTCTAAAGACAGGCTGTTCCTCAGTAGTTCTATTATGAGCAATACAGTTAAATAACAGAAAAATTACCCAAATGCTATTTCAAGTAATTTTTATGATTCAAGTTGATTAGTTAATAAAAGCAATTATGATAATGAAAGCTTTTCAGAATTTCAGGTTAGAGAGTATCTTTATGAAGCTTTAACTACATTAGCACAATTCTAATTCCACAGGTGTTCATATAGTTCCTGACTGTAATGGCTTCAATATATTAAATATTAAATATTTATTTCCTTTCTTGTTATCTATACTGCTAAAAACAGAAATTGCTCCCAGTTTGAATTTTAGAATAGTACTTAGCATTTGTAACTCTTTCAGGTTTATTCATTACGTTTACATGTATCCATCAGTTAATATATAGAATGATTAAGAATCTATTACTTGTCAGCTTGTGCCCTTATACAGCTAATTTCACCTCCCAGACCTTCAGTTTACTATTAAACAAAATGAAAATAATATTAAGATCTACCACATAGAATATTATGATGCTATGATTCAGGGGTAGGGGGACACAAGTAATCATCCAGGACTCCTAGATGGACACCAAGCCCAAGTACTCTGATGGAGGATGCACGTGTCCTAACTGGACTCTTAACTGCTATGCCATAAGCCTGCCCTAGCTTCTATAGTATCAATCCCATAGTTAATTTATTCATTTACCTATTGTACAACATTTTTAACTGAAGCAAATAAAGCCGCTGTGACGATTCAGATAAAAGTGAAAATAAATAAAATCAATCATGATTCTTTTTATTTTTTACGAAAAGCATTTTTTTATTTCATTTCATGACACAGTTTCATAGGCTCTGGGATTCCCCCAACCCCTCCCCAAACCCTCTCTCCATGTTGGATTCTTCCACATCATTGCAATAGTATAGTTAATATCCAGTCATATTTCCTTCATTGCGGGCATGAACCATGCATAGAGTCCAGTGTCCTATTGTCCAGATAAATTCAACAGCTGGCAGAATATCATCCCCTCCAATATAACACCACAACACATTAGTAACAATTTATAACATAATGGAGTTAATTGACATGGTATTGAGTGATAAATATGTTAGAAAATGTAAGTTCTTAACCACATCCTGTGACTACTTCATTGACATTTCAGTTTTAGTTCATATACAACCGGCTGTTATACACCTTATAATTGCTATAGGGTACAATTCAGCTGTCTCATGTCTATTTTCGTTTTTATGTTTAGCAGCTTATAGTATTAAAGCATGATTTTTACTGAAATTAGTGAATTTTAGGATAGTCCAAACAAGCTTATAGCCCTAACAAGTTATATGTTAACAATTGAGGGGCAGAACAGTTTTAGGAGGGGTGTGCTGAGAAATCTTCGATACTTTAGTGAGGAGTAATTGATCTTTGTGTCCTACCTAGTAAGGTATATGTGAATCCAAGCTGACCATTTCCTGTCTGTTCTACACTTTCCTTATTGGTCTCTGTCTATCTGTTCTAATTTTTTTGGGGGGGAAGGGGAGTGGTTCCAGAGCAACCCTGATGGTCATTGCAAGAGAGGGTGGGGATCCAAAACTGAAACTAAGTAAGGACCAGAGTAAGCTCCTCTCCCAAGTCCAGAAGGAAGTTTACTGTTCTGTTTCTGCAGACCACTCAGGGCTCCCGGCTATTGTTCCAATGATATTAGATCCTGTGAGGAAGGATCTGGGCTTCTTCCATCCTATGTGGGAGATCCAAACGGGAGTGGATGACCTCAGAGTTCTCGGCCTCCA